TGTGCTGAGTTCTAAGTTTTCTTTCTTTCTTCGGTCGATATCTTTCTGTCTTTCGATCCGTGCTGCGTCTTTGGATTTGTTGGTGTTGATATATTCTCCTTTGTGTATCGTTGGTGGCTCCGACTGCTTGTGACGAACCATGGCTCGTTACAAGTTGCGCGGCCTTAGGTCTAAGAGACTTAAATAATTATACAGAAGATATTCAATAAAATCCAAGCAAGAAAGACGGATGTCTTTACTTTACTTTTTACATCACATCAGAACTCATTGGTTTTCGTTTCATCCTCGGCACAATTACGTTGAGTCTCAAGTGGAAATGAGGCCACGGGTGGCCGTGGTACTGCTCGACGGGGGTCGTGGTGTGTGGGCGTCCTGACGTTGGCCGTCCGGCCATACTGGCGTGTCATCTGTTATTCTGCTGGATGATAAATTTCGCGCTGGTGCGCTGTCTTCCGTTATCTGATCGCCTGCTGCTGTTGTCAGTTTCTTCCGCGGAATGAGGGCCAATTTAGCGGGTGTCGTCCTCTTCCGTTCTCTGGGTCGTCGTTTTGGGTTGAACTCTCTCGGCTTCCTTTTTATTTCTTCCAGGTATTTTTAATGTTCGGCGAACCTTCGCTTTGCCTCTTCAAGCCACGTTTCCATCTTAGGTAGATCTGCAATAGTCAGAAGCGAACAAATTGGATTAGTTTTCTTTTGCTAAAATCATAACCCGATCAAGTCCCGTTTCGGCAAACTTTTAGATTCCCTACGATTCTGCGTTTTCGTATTTTAAAAATTGGTGGTGCCATTTTCGCCAGTGGGAATGGGCGTGGCAAAAATTTGAAGTGTCTTAGTCGACCATGTGAGCCAATTGGCTATTTGGCTTTAGCCAATATGTACCGAAATATGTACACCTGCTTCATAGACTTTAAAGAAGCTTTCGACAACATCGATCAGCATAGCCTTTCGAAACTCAACATGGCCGTAGTATCAACACAGATTTTGAGCATATTAAAACGTCTTTAGCGAAAACATGGCAGTGGTCTGGAACGGTAATAATCTCTCATGCAACCTTGCCGTTAAGCAAAGATGCCATCTAAGTGTACTGTTATATACCTTGTGCGTCCGTGTTGTGTTGTGAGGTATTTCGCATTTCCGACCGCTTGAATAAGCCACAAAAATAAATAAGAACGCGACTCCCTGTAGTCTTTCAGCTATAGGCTTAGGTAAGGTTAGGTTTATAGGGCTGTTCGACCGAAGTCGAGGTCAGTCGGAGGCAAGACTGCCCATTGTGATGCCCACACTCGTCACGAGATAATGTCCATATAGGCTTTATGCTCGACGATTTCAAATTAACGAAAAATGCAAGCCGTGTTCGTGGGTTAAACATGTATATATATTGCAAGTATCTTTGGACTATATAGAACCGTTTAAGTTTGCTTTCAAGTTTCGACTCCTGGTCTTGACGGCAACGCAAGCCACTCAGACCGCCACACAGTGTATCGAAGTGCAGTTTTTTTTGACAAAATTGCGGGGACAGTTCAAATGTTGTCTGATTTTTATCTTTTTTTGTTAATACTCATATGGTCTGCCCGCCAAGAATTGCCAACTCTCTAAAACTACCCTAAAAATATCAACTTTCATCAAATTAAAAAACTAAATTTTTTACGTAGAAAATGGGGGAAATAATCTATATATATAATGAGAACGAACGTGTGAGTCGCTTCTGGGGACGCGACTCTACTTATACCCGTACTCAGTCAGCATATACATTTTTAGAATATGATTTTTTAGAATTTTAAATTTTAAATTAAAAAAAAATTTTCATTTTAAAAGGGGAAAGGGGGGGGGGGGGAAACAACTGAAAATTAATTTCTTCATTCTGGCTATAATTATGATCCGATCTGGTTCAGATTCGGTAATCTGGTAGATATGGGCATTTTCTACGATACTGCGTTTTTATTTTTAGCGTATCTTTAAAATTGTGGCTGCCACAGATTTTTGTTCTTTGTGGGGGCGGAATGGGGCGGGGCGAAATTTTGAAATTCACTTGTAGCAGTGTGATATCACTTGAGTCTGGAAACAAAATTTGGTTCCTCTAGCTTTTATAGTCTCTGAGATCCAGGCGTCAAACATGACGGACGGACAGACGGACGGACGGACAGACAGACATGGCTCTATCGACTCGGCTATTGATGCTGATCAAGAATATATATACTTTATGGGGTCGGAAACGTTTCCTTCTCTGAGTTACACACATCCACTTTTACCACAAATCTAATATACATTCCCCTTAACTCTTTTTTGAGTACGGGTATAAATATCGTGTAAAATGGGTTTTATATCTTCAATGGATTTGGATTTGATAATTCTTCCCTGTGCTAATTTGGAAACTTTGCTGTCAAAACTAAGTTTTTCTCTAACTGCTATGTTGTTTAGCGACGGAATTTATTTCTTAAATCCTAGATAGGGAATCGGCAACAACGTTGGCTTTTCCTGGATTATAAATTAACTGTTAATCATATTCTTCCAAGAATGTATCCTTCGTTTTATTCTTGCATTACTGTTCCAGTCGCTCATAGAATGGGTTAAAGATTGATGATCAGTATAAATTTTCACTTTCGCTCCTCCATAGAGATAATTCCTTAATGATTTTAATGCCTATATTATTGCTAAAATTTCGGCTTTAGAAAGTGTTCGGAAATGAATGATATTGATTTATCATTCTGAGCAAGGACTGCTCCTAAGGCGAAGTTTGAGGCATCTGTCGTAAATTGAAATTCTTTATTGAAATCGGGATATTGTAGGATGACTTCGGTTGAAATTAATGTATTTTTAAGTTTTTGGAATGACGCTATTGCTTCTTAGTTTAGGTGAATCATCTTTCTGCTTGAATTGGTTTTGGATACGCGACCATCTTCCCCACTTAGTAGTGAGGTAAGTGGTTTTGCTAACAAGGCATAATATTTGATGAATCTTCTATAATAGCCCGACAAACCTAGGAAGGATCTAAGATCCTTTAGTGATTTCGGACAAGGATACTTAGCAATTGATTCTACCTTTGAAGGGGTTGTCTCTATTCCTTTGGGGCTGTCCATATATTACGTAATCACCTAGGTGGAGGGGGGGGTCAAGGAAATGATTATGTTTGATTACATGGGGGAGGGGGGTCTTGGACAATGATTACGTTATCATTTCCAATATCATTCCAATAGTAAATAATATTAAAGATTGGATTGCATCTCCGTTTGAATCCACAGATTAAAGCAACAAATTTGTTTATATATTTTTATACCCGTACTCAAAAAAGAGTTAAGGGGTATATTAGATTTGTGGTAAAAGAGGATGTGTGTAACGCAGAAAAGGAAACGTTTCCGACCCCATAAAGTATATATATTCTTGATCAGTATTAATAGCCGAGTCGATATAGCTATGTCTGTCTGTCCGTCTGTCTGTCTGTCTGTCTGTCTGTCTGTCTCGATGAGCGCCTAGATCTCAGAGACAATAAGAGCTAGGGCAACCAAATTTGGTTTCCAGACTCATGTGATATCCCACTGTTACAAGTGTATTTCAAAATTTCGCCCCGCCCCCTTCCGCCAGCACAAAGAACGAAAATCTGTGGCAGGCACATTTTTAAAGATACGATAAAACTAAAAACGCAGTATCGTAGAGAATGACCATATCTACCAGACTGCTGAATCTGAATCAGATCGGACCATAATTATAGCCAGAATGACGAAATTAATTTTCAGTTGCTTCCTCTGCCCCCTCCAGCCAACGACAACACAACTCATTTTCCTTCTCGCTCGCACACTCTGCCGCGTTCAGTGCGGGAGCAACCCCTAGCGGAGAAGATGTAGAATCTGAATGGTACATCTATAATCTACATGTTAGATGTAAAATATACATTGTAGATGTAGATAACAGATGTAGAAAAAAAATGTAAAATGTAAAATTTTTTTTTTAATTCTAAAATTCTAAAAAATCATATGCTCAAAAATGTAAATACTGACTGAGTACGGGTATAAGTAGAGTCGCGTCTTTAGAAGCGACTCACACGTTCCTTCTCGTTTTTTCTTGTGATTACGTAATCATGGTGAGGGGGGGGGGGGTTCCTTGAATGATTACTTTTGATTATCAGGGGGGGGGGGGTCAAAAATCATCGAAAACGTGATTACGTAATATATGGACAGCCCCTTTACCGGAAATAACGAAACCTAAGAACTCTACTTTATTCTTGCTGGCGCATTCTTTAAGCCAAAAGGGAGTTTCCTGTAGTCAATGACCACTCTAAATTTCTTCTTTTTGGATGCATCTAATTTTTTTGGGACGAGCCAAATGGGTGAATTGTATGGAGATCGAGATGGTCTAATTATCTAGTAGTGCTTTTGTTTGAGTTTCTACTTCGACCTTGGATCCGGCCGGTAACACTACTCGACAAAATCCAACTTTTTTTCTCAAGGATCCAAATCGACTTTTTCTGATAGATATAGACTTTAAATTATGTTTTTTTTTCTATGGCAGAACTTTTTTTTGAAGAATTTTTGAATTCTGGTTTTTTTTTTAAGCTTGTTTCAGAGGTAGCGCTTCTTTTTTCATATAACTCTAGTATCTTACGTCTGGTTGTAAAGAACTTTGCTATTTTGAAAAGATAATTGAAACAGCTAGAAGTTGATGCCAAACACTTTGTGATTTCAGCTTACCGTCTGGGAAATATAAAGCATTGAAATGCAAAAATGATGATTTTTGTGGGGTATTTTTTACGAAATTTTGACTTTAAAAACTCAGGAAAAGTCGAAAAAAAATAATATCTTGTGTCCTCTATTTTTTGTGTATAGGTGCGTTGCGAGCCCAACTGCCCATTGGGAACAAAGGAACGCGATCAGGTACCAAATGTACAACCCTTGTTCGTTTGCTCTGTTCCCAATTGGTAAAAGAAGAGAAGCGCAATCGATAGTATCGATAAAAAATGTATGAAGATCTATGATCACTAGAATTAATATAGAGAAAATAAACGAACGAGCAAGAACTATCATCGAGGGGATTGAGGAATATCAGGATTGCTGAAGAAGAGGGACTTGGCTCGAACATTTGGCGCCCGAACAGGGACCTTTGGAGAAGGTCCATATTCCGGATGGAGTTCACTTGGGAACTCAATAAATATTTAACCCAGAGTCTGGCTGACGGCGACTGCGACAGCGGCTTCGGTATCGAATTGTGAGTGTTAACTGCTTTGAGCATCTAATATTTCTTGCAGGCATGGTTAATTCCAATTCGATGTGTGTGAAAAAATATAAAAATAATATCTAGTGTCAAGTGGTTGCGGCTTTGAGACTTCTGCCACTAACCATACAGTATATAGATGTGCCAGTTCATACAACAAAAGGGGCGCAAGCTGAGTGTTCTGTCCCGGCTCCCAGCGCTTCGGCTCTGTGAGGCTGAGACACTCGGGTAGGGAGCCAGGCCATTCGGGTCGGGAGCTGGTTCGTTCGGCATGTATGACTCATGTCGGGAAGCGAAAGCAAGCTGAGAATTGCAAATGAATGTGTGTAAACAGACACGAAAAAATTTTGTATCAATTCTTATTTTCCGAAAACGTTTTGAGTTTGTTTTGAGTTTCGTTTCCAGGACCAGCGATCGATACCGGGATCGGGGCCGGCATTGTAAAAAATTGGAGGAACAGCGAAGAAAGAAAGAATTAAGAACATTGTATTTAAGAATAGAGCCAACTAACACGCTACAATTAAACATTTATTTATATAAAGCGTCTTCCTCACGAAGAACCCCACACAACTCAGAAGTGGGTAAAGGACGGCCTACAATTAAGGGATTTTCACCACTCATACATTAGCACATAAGACCCGGTAGCAGAGGGAGATAGCACTATGTACGTTTGGCTTCTATTGTCAGCATAAGCAATCATACAGAACATTTTCTGTTCTGAACGCAGTAGTTGTGGGTGGCGCTTTGGCAGAATGGCAAACGAGGTTAGAGTGGCTGACGAAATAACGAGTTTGACAGGCTGCAAAGACCGCTTCGTAATGGCAATGGCAATGGCGCTAACGTAGAGGAATTACCTGATGAAAGAATCGAGAATAAGGAAATAAAAGTAAACGTTCCAGAAATTTCGCCAGACGCACAAGCTAAGAGGCTGGAAGCCGAACGCCTTATGATGGAAGCAGAGATATGTTTGCTCCAAAGGAAACAAGCCCTGGAAGAACTGCGCACGGGGAGCGTGGACGGATTAGCCAACTTCAAGGAGATTATGCAGATTATGGAACCGTATGCAGGAAAAGTAAACAGCGCTCATGCTTGGATCAAAGATTTTGAGATGAACTGCAAGGGGACGGATGCGTTTAAGCTCAGATGCGTGCGACGCTTAATGAAGGCGGACACGGACGCAGAATCTTTTCTGAAAGTAAACAAGGCTACGTCGTTGCTGCCTTTAAGAAAGATTTCCTGGACACATTCGGCAGGATTTCCTCAATGGTTTTTTTTTTTTTTTTTTATTACGGGATTTTATTTATCGAATCTTCCCTATTAGAGACTTACAAGTATACAAATCTTAGCCTAATATATTTATTTAATTATTTACACTTAATTACTTAGAGTACGTCCCTAGCTAAGTATTATTGCTGGGTGGGAAGGTCTCTTCGCCGGAGTCGTGTATGGCTAGTGTGCCAAGTTAAAGACTGCGCAAGTCTATTAGGATGGGCTTGAAGCTTGGCCTGGTACTTTGCTTTCACTTTGGCAATTTCATCTTTAACTGATCCTACATTTAAGTCTTTATGGATATGTTCATTCCGTATGTACCATGGTGCCCCAGTAATAGTTCTTAGTATCTTCGATTGAGCTCTCTGGATTATTTCTAAATTACTAACGCAAGCATTTCCCCATAGCTCGGAGCCGTATGTCCAGATAGGTTTGAGAACTGCATTGTACAAAAGTACTTTGTACTCCAGTTTTAGTGGTGAACGGGTGTTTATTAGCCAATGTAGATTACTAGCTTTAAATTTAAGTAGATTTCTCTTCGCTTCGATGTGCTTACGCCAAGTAAGCCTTCTATCCAGATGAACACCAAGGTATGTTACTTCGGTGGTTTGTGGAATGTTGATATTGTTCAGACATAATGGAGGGCAAGTTTGTCTGTTTAACGTGAAGGTGACATGCTTGCACTTTTGCTCGTTTACATGTATCCGCCAGTCTGCTAGCCATTTTTCTAAGGCCACGAGATGAGATGATAAGTGATCCGTGGCCCTTCTTGGGCACTTGGAGCGACTTAATATGGCAGTATCATCAGCAAATGTCGAAGTTGTTGTTAGGCTGTTTGTCGGTAGATCTGCTGTGAATATGATATACAGTGTCGGTCCAAGCACGCTGCCTTGCGGTACACCAGCTTCAATTGGATGATATTCAGAGAGGAAATCTTTGCATCGTACTGCGAAACTTCTTTGCTGTAGGTATGACTCCATTATTCCATGGATGTTCTGTGGAAGTAATATTTTGATTTTGTGGATTAAGCCATCTAACCAAACGCGGTCGAAAGCCTGTGCGACATCCAGAAAAACAGCGGAGCAATACTCCCGTCTTTCAAATGCATTTCGTATCTCAGAGGTTATACGGTTTACTTGTTCAATGGTTCCGTGTTTTTCGCGAAATCCAAATTGGTGAGTCGGGATGGCACCGTTGATGTGTAGGTGTTGTTTGATACGATTCAGGAGCAGCTTTTCAAATATCTTTGATAGGCAAGGCAGTAGGCTGATAGGTCTATATGATGATGGCTTGGACTTGTCTTTTCCGGCTTTATGGATCATTGTGATGACTGATTTCCTCCATTCTTGAGGATAATAGCCCCATTTCATCATGCTGTTGAATATCATAGTAAGAAAATACACTGCACAGCTCGGCAATTCTATGATCATTTTAGGAGAGATGAAATCGTGGCCCGGAGCTTTCTTTTGCTTTGAGATTTGGTCTTTAATGACCCTTGTGACTTCTCCTGTTTGGAATATGATAGGCGGAGTAGCTTCGGGATTGTTGGTTGGTGGGAGCACAAAGCTATTCGTTGCTGGGTGCGGTTTGAAGACGTTTTCTAGATGGACGGCAAATGTATTTGCCTTCTCTTTGTTGCTGCGAGCCCACTCTCCTGTTTGTGTACGCAAAGGTGATTCACTCTCGATTGGTGGGCATACGCCTGATTTTGCTTTCCACAGTGGGAATCGTTTGCTAGTTGGGGAGAGTTGCTCCATATAGGATATTTGAGCTCGGTTTTTTTCATCTTCTAGGGCTCTGCGTAGTAGGTGGTTGGCTATTTTTAGCCGCTCTTTCGATGCAGGTGATCTGTGTGCTTGCCACTCTCGGCGAAGCCTTCTTTTATCGCGTAGCAGCACTTCAATGTGCCTAGAAATACGACTGCTGTTGGAATGTTTATTAGATGCTAATATTGGTGTTGAGTGTTTTGCCGCCAGTGACATTGAGGAAACCAATGCTTCGACTGACCTATCAATGTCATCTTTACAATTAATGTTTGGGCAGCTATCAATATGAGAGCTTATGTACTTCCTGTATTTGAGCCAATCTGTTTTGCTAGAAGTTAGAAAGTGTGGGCGTTCCGAATGCTGTGGATGGTCGTAAAGGTGAAGTAGAATGGGCGAGTGATCCGATGATAGATCTGTTAAGTGATCTACATTAATCTGAGCTTGCAGCACCCTTCGTGTAACTGCAAAATCAATCAAGTCGGGTTGCTTGTTTGGATCTGTGGGCCAATATGTGGGCTTGCCCGGAGAGATAAAGTCTAGCTTGTTTCGTGGGGTTATTATAGCGTTATATAGTTGTCTTCCTTTCGGGTTGGTAAGTCTAGATCCCCAATGGGTGTGCTTGGCATTGTAGTCACCAGCTGCTATAAATCGGTAACCTAGTAGGTCGAAGAATGTTACAAATTCTGTTTCGGAAATGCAGAAACGTGGTGGGCAGTATACTGCGGCTAGGTTTAGGTAGCCGCTCTGAATTTCAATATGAATTGCTGTTGCCTGTAGATAAGGTGTAGCAAATGAAGGCAATGGATAATGCCTAATGCGATTCTTGATCAGAACGCCAGTACCTCCATGTGCCTTACCATCGGGATGATTTGTCGCATAGAAGTTATAGCCATTGAGGTGAAAATAGTTTTTATTTGTTAGGTGAGTCTCTGATATGAGCATGGCGTCAATGTCGTGTTGAGCGAGGAACTGTAAGAGCTCGCATTTGTGCTGAGAAATGCCATTTGCATTCCAGAAACATATATTTAGACAGGACATTTAAACAGATTTCTGTTTGATTAGGAGCTCCAGGAGGAGATTTTGGTTGCGCATAAGCTCCTGCATCGTTTGTTGTATTGCTACCATTGTATTTGTTATAGTTACCAGCATTGACTCAATTCCACTAGGCAATTGGGATGGATTAGCAGGGGTATGTTGGGCAGAGATTTCTGGGATCTGATTTGATGCCTGATTCTGCATTATTCCAGCTGTGGTTGGTTGAAGTGTCGGCTTAGAGACTGAGGCGTACGACCCGTTGTTGTAACTTAACGCCTGAGCAAAAGAAACTCCTGGAGTCGTAGTTGATGGTATATGTTAAGTTTTGTCGGACGACCGGGTTACGAGCTGCAGTTATTTGTTGGTTTAGGCGATTTTTCAATTCTTTATAGACAGGACAACCTCTATAGTTGGCAGTATGGTTTCCCCCACAGTTGCTACATTTTTTGGCAGATGGGTCCTCCTTATTTACGGGGCAGGCCTCAGTGAGATGAACATCACCACAGGCAACGCAGACTGCCCGTAGAGTGCAATAGGTTTTCGTGTGTCCATATTCCTGGCAATTTGTGCATTGGACCGGTCCATTTCGTTTGTGTGGTTCCTCAACGGTGATCCTACGGTGCAGTAGGTATTGAAGCTTGTATATTGGGTGAACTTCATTTTTCCTTATATGCATACTTTCAGGTGTCAGTTCTACTTTGAACATTGGCTGAGGAATTTTGTTTCTATTTATTATGTTCATTACCATTTTGACTTCGAAGCCCTTATCGTTAAGTCCATCTATTATCTCATTGATTGGGACTGTTGGTTCGATTCCTTTGATAACCACTTGTAATCCTTTGCTACTTTTAAGTTGGTAGGTGTAGTAATTCATTTTTTCATTTTCGAGATATTTCGCAACTGATCGATAGTTTTGTTCGTCAT